AGCTCTCGCTCTCTCTCTCTCTCTCACCAGCTCGGGCTTGCTTCGCAGCCCCTACTCTCCCTGCTGTTTTGTTATTGTATACTCTGTTGCCTTCTCTCCTTCTGACGAGTAGGTTGTGTACGAAGTGATTTGGCTTTTTTTAACAAATCTGTAAAATTTGCTTTTCTTCTGGCTGTTTTTCTGCTCCGGATGGCTGTATCGAAACATGGGTGGTGGCAAATGAGAGCCAGTTTATGGTAGATCAACATTGACCAGAAAATTTGGTGCATATAATTTAATTCTCCCTGCCACGTCGGTATACCTAGTGGTGGGTGCTTCGCTGTTTTGTGTAAAATGTGTAAAATAAGCCCCTGAATGGACAAGGAGGGCAGTGAATTGCTTCCGCAGAGCCTTTGGACGACGTCAGGCCATCCTCCCATCACTAAAGACAACAATGAAGAACAGTAGGTCACGGAATACACTCTGTGAGAACGAAAACATGGCTTCGATGCTATGCTATCTACCCAATTCTACCGTATGACACAGCCACTAGTTACAAATATAAAAACACGGTTTTGCGGCAGCATACAATGCAGTTGACAGATTAATTTTCATCCACTGGCATTCCTTGAAGTGATATCTATCAACTTCAGAACATTGATGACCGAATATCCCAGTTTGTGATGCCATTTTACAAATTTGTTAAAAAATGACACACCAATTATTTGAACCCTGAGAATACTATGAAAGTAGGACATGATTCAAGACACTTTCCAAAGTGGGATCATTCCCATTTTTTTAGACAACAAGCATGAAGGATAGCACTTCCACTTGCAACAATTTATTTGGACGTAGCTTGCCTAGAAGTGGCTGAAAAAACGTCATTTTACAAACATGTTAAAAAAGCCAAATCACCTCGTACTTATTAAAAAAATAATAATAATAATAATTTGATAACCGCAATCAGTAATACAAGCTGGATCGACATTTGTGTACACTGTATTCATGTATTGTAAAACTGTGGAGACAATGTGCAATAAAACGATGAAAATGTGAAGAAATTGTGTAGAGAAAGAAAGGGATTCAAACAAGTTTTCGTACAACACTCATCAGGAATCTTCGTTGTACTAAAGGACACTGAAAACAAAATTGATCTATTATAGAAAATCTAAGTTAGAGAAATAACACTAAGAACAACAGCAGTGAAATTTACAAGTGTGAATTTTAACAATGAAAGCGAGAGCAATAACGAATGTGTGTACTAACACTAAACTTGCAAAATTCACACTTGTAAATTTCACTGCTGTTCTTAGTGTTATTTCTCTAACTTAGATTTTCTATAATAGTTCAATTTTGTTTTCAGTGTCCTTTAGTACAACGAAGATTCCTGAAGAGTGTTGTACGAAAACTTGTTTGAATCCCTTTCTTTCTCTACACAATTTCTTTACATTTTCATCGTTTTATTGCACATTGTCTCCACAGTTTTACAATACATGAATACAGTGTACACAAATGTCGATCCAGCTTGTATTACTGATTGCGGTTATCAAATTGTTGTCTCCTCGCCGTTTGTTCAAATAATAAAAATATTAAAAATAAAAATTAATGTCGCAAAGTAGCTTTAGTTTATTGCACAATGCAAACTCTACTGATTGGTAACAAACTGGCCAAAGTGTGTCAGCATTATCAGCTGGATGGGAAGCCACGCCTCTGCCATGCTTGTGGTCCAAACACAGGAGACATGATGATTGCGTGACTTGCACACTCTCACAAAAACCCGGCAGCAGCCACATGATTAAAATCTACAGTCCATTTCAAAACTATAGACGCGTAGGGTTTTTGAAATATTTCAAATTTGGCTGGAGCTTTTTGAGACTAGTTTTCGGAATATTGCTCACGTCCGCTCCACAATTACTCTCATATAGTGTCTAAACGATTGGTTAACAGACGCCCAATTTGGAAAAATTTATGCACAAAGTGATCACAGATTTTATGTGGAATAGACGGTTTTTGCCTAGGTACGCGTCTATAGTTTTGAAATGGACTGGAGGGTGGTGACACGTACAATTTCCAACATTGGTACAACTTTAGCGTACAGGTTCATGGTAGTATTCAACTTTGCCGTGCAAACTCCTGGGAGCGTACGTACGGGCGCGACTTTGCAGTACATTTCAGCATCATGCACTATTTTCTTATACCTGTACACTCCCATGCATAATGTGGGTTATATTACGCAAACTTTCTCGAAAACGCGGATGAAAGCCAATTTACGCGAAAACGAGAGAGAGAGAGAGAGAGAGAGAGAGAGAGAGAGAGAGAGAGAGAGAGAGAGAGAGAGAGAGAGAGAGAGAGAGAGAGAGAGAGAGAGAGAGAGAGAGAGAGAGAGAGAGAGAGAGAGAGAGAGAGGAGAGAGATTGCACAGCTGAAGTCAAAAGACAAGAGCTAGGGGCAGAGATAAAAACAGACAGAAAAGCTGAGAGGTGACATAATTGTAAGGAAGAGAGAGAGTGCGATGGACAAAAGAGATGGTCCAGTAAGAGAAAGAGAGAGAGAGAATGAGACAGGCAAACAAAGAGCGCAATACCCCTGTGTGTGCACAACCTCAAACACATACAAAGGGCAGTCTCTGGCTGCTGCACACCAATCGTCACACTCACACAAAGACAGTTTTGCATTTTGTACTCTTTAAAAAAATAAAAGACAACAACACTTGAAAGTGATAAACATACACACAATGAAACATCTTGCAGGGTGATACAGAACAGAGATGCAGAGGCAAATCCTTGTCATGCCAGTTTGCAAGGGCATCCCAGCAAAATTGGCCCAAAACTTCAGCAAAAAAAAGTATTAAAAATGCCACCTATAGGCCCTAGTACGAGATAAATATCTACACGACATCAGCCAATCTCGATCATGCAATTATCTTGTAATAATTATTATGATCTTCGAAGAATAAGCGATACACACAAATCCACACACACACCAACCGCCTGGTTCCTTTCTAATGGTCTATAATGTTCGATTTCAGGGAAAAATTAACTCAAGGCAAGCATGAGAGAGACCAACTCGAGAGGACCTACCAACGTTCACATCGCCTTCTTAGTGGCACGATGAAGATATAGGTTGGCAGGAAGCAGGTGGCAATAGAGCGACGCGTTTGCACAGCTGTTGAAGGCGCCGACTTGAAATTCAGCGGAAATTGCCAAAAGAATCACTCGAGGTGTCTACACTGCAATGATGGGCCTTCTGATCTCTACGCCACTCTTATCCACGCCGATGAGCGAGTCGAAGCAGAGAATTTCGTTGTCTGACTTGTCCTTCACCGACCATCTGAAGGGAATCTCCTTAGGTAGAATTATAAGCGGCGTGTTCTTGGGGATGGACATCACCGATTTGTAGATAACCGTCTGTCCTTTTTTCAACGGACACTCAGCGCCAGACAATTCCTTGCACATATGAATCTGACTGAAGCCGGGATACGGCAGGCGAACACCGTGGAAAACGGCGGACAGCGACACGTCGCCAGAAGTGACATCTTCACCGACCGTGACGTTGATGGTGACATTGTAGAAGGTGTTGGGCTTGAGTGGGCAAGGAAACTGAACACACGGGTCGACATTCACCGAGTGAATAGTTGCAGAGCTGGGGCAAGGCTTGAATTTGATGTCCAAGCTCGTTGCCGCCCACGCCTGGGACAGGCCAGCAAGGAAGAGAGCAAACGCCACAGACCTCATCACTGTGGTTCTACAGGACCTGCAAATTCTTTCTCCTGCACACGTCAAGTCGACTACAAGTACAAAGCAAAAGTGAACCTGGACATGCCAAGGTTGCGCGTTTTGTCTGACCCAGTATGGCAATACTGGTGGTCCGATTCAAATCCCTCGCGCCTCCAGCATGTAACGCGAATGTGACCGCAGCTGTGCGAGCACATTTGTACTACTCGTGTTGCCTTGTGCAAGTTTTGCAACACTCCGTATCATCAGTCTGATCATGACAAAACCGTGCCTTTCGTGCACGATATGGTACATGAGCTCACACTCAAAGGGCCAATATGGGCGTTTTCGCGCCTCACCATCCCTCCATAACCGTTTGGCGGGGTCCCGTATCCATACCCCGTAGATACTGCATGCTGTTCGTGTTCGTACTCGTAGACTCCACGGTAGATCTACGGCCGGTGTTGCCATGTCGAGAATCACGCCAGGCAGTCACGACTGTCACGCACCAGCTAGCTGCATCAAGAGGTTCATTATTTTATGTACTCTTGGCTGCACATCGATCATCTCCGAGTCCGACTCCACAGATCGCAGAGATGTACTTCTTTTCTCGTCCCAAGCATCTCCAACTGATTTAATAATGTATGTCCTGTAGGCCAGACGCGGGATCAATTTTGGGACATGTAAAATATACCAAGAGTGGAAGTGGAACTGGAGACTGTGGAGTGGAAGTATTACAAGTAGTAGTTCCTGCTCTGAGTTTTTCAGACAGTTTTGTAGAAGATGCGACACGCGATGCGACAGGCGCGAAACCGGGAAAACCCCAAATTGCAGCCATGTCGCACCCCACGCAACTTTTGCATTGTTGCGATGCGATGCGATGCGACAAGCGATTATCATTTGGCGTACGATTTGACCTTTTCTACAGCAAAGTTGTACAAAGGTTCAAGAGTTGCCTATAAATGTGTACAAGTTGTATCAAACCGCGCGAATATCATGGTGACGTAGCCAAATCAGCAAGATGTTGTCGCATCGCTGACTTCTTCTGTGAATGGTATTTCGCGAGTTCGCATCGCACGCATCCGTCGCAGATCACGTCGCATCGCGTGTCGCATCGCAAAAAAGCTTCAGTGAATCCCGCTTTAAAGGGGAAGTATACCCTAAAATCAAATTTTCACCAGTTGTAGTCTTCGGGGTGCCGAGTCGAATGGTCTTGGTCCGAGGAAGCTGCGACGCTCCCTTCCTACTTGAATCCCAATCGAACTCGCGCACTTCCACCGAAACTGGGTGACTGCGCCCTACTAGATGGGGATTTGTATGCAAAATGTCACTAAAAGCGCCATTTCGTTCTTATAAAAGCACGGATGACCGCGATTGGCCCATATGTTGTACTCTTTTGGACGCTGAGTCGACTGGTTTTGGTCCGAAAAGGCTGCGATGCAGCGTTCCTCCTTTATTCCCAATCGAACATGGTTGAAGAAGCGGTCACGTGGTCCTGGTTGCCCAAATCACCTGGTCACCGCGCCAGCAGGCGACAACTTTCACACCAAGGTTCAACTCGAGTGACAGGACTGCACCCAAAAAAGGTCAAACAGGCTAGTAAGTTGTACCCTGCAGGCACGGTGACCAGGTGACTGGTGTACGCAGGAGCACGTGACCACTTGTTCAACCATGTTCGATTGGGAATAAAGGAGGAACGCTGCATCGCAGCCTTTTCGGACCAAAACCAGTCGACTCAGCGTCCAAAAGAGTACAACATATGGGCCAATCGCGGTCATCCGTGCTTTTATAAGAACGAAATGGCGCTTTTAGTGACATTTTGCATACAAATCCCCATCTAGTAGGGCGCAGTCACCCAGTTTCGGTGGAAGTGCGCGAGTTCGATTGGGATTCAAGTAGGAAGGGAGCGTCTCAGCTTCCTCGGACCAAGACCAATCGACTCAGCACCCCGAAGACTACAACTGGTGAAAATTTGATTTTAGGGTATACTTCCCCTTTAAGCGGGATTCATCGCAAAAGTTGAGCCAAGCTCAACTTCTGCGATGGCCTGCGATGGCCCAGTTGCGGCAGTTGCGTGGGGTGCGACATGGCTGCGATTTGGGGTTTTCCCGGTTTCGCGAAAGAAAAAGAAAAAAGGCCCAACCCTGCCCGGCCAGGTATTTGGACTTACGGGGGCCGCCATGGCAAATAATAAGTAGTGAAAATGAGCTAGTATGGCTGTGAAAACAGTCTATATGACAATATTCAGTCAGCCATAATGGATGCGTCCGCAGCGACCACAGCTGCAGATGACGCGACAGGAGCATGGGCAGAAAAATGGATCGGCTACCACGCACACACATTACACTGGCCCGTATTAGCGCTACGCTAAGACGACACCGGATGAACGCCATGGTGAGGGAGTAGGGCTCACCGGTCTTCTCTGCAAGCAACACAGCAATTCTCTTGTACAGAGCTGACGCACACTTGCTCATGCCGCCGTCGTAGAGAACACGGCCGGGACAAACGAGGCATGCTCTACATCACGCAAGCGCTGTTCGTACGAACGCTTCTTTGCCTTCTCATGGCGGGTGTAGGCTGCGGAGACGGAGGAGGAGCGATTTGAGGGCGCAAATGGGTTGAAAACCCTGACATCAATAAATTTATGTGCGTTCAAATCGTCCTCCCCATATCCCGTTAGCGGCCACGTCCAATCTGGCAGCATCGGCACGAATGGCAGTGCGAAGAGACAGCTGCTCACCCGACAGAGGCTCGAGGTGCGGCTCAACGGAGACATTGGTAGCTACTCTCTTCAGAAGGCCAGCTGTCACATCTCGAATTTCATTGTGGCGAATACTGGGGTACCCACCCGTTGGACAGCTCGAGGCATGGGCGATGGTGAACTGGCTCCCACAAGAGCACGCAGACGGCATGTGCGGTAGTCTCCAGTTGTAGCGGAGATGTAAACCATCCCGAAACTCCGCCTTCGCCATAGCAAAGCCATGGCGTTTCAGGGGTCGGCATGTCAACCACCCTGAGGCTCCCTTCTCCGCTGCAAGCTCAACTGTGCGATGTTGGTCTGCACCCAGTGAAGAGCATACAGTGGCAGCGTGGGTTCGGAGAGCGTTGCGAGCTGACGTCTGAACTGCCTTCTTGGCTGCTTGTCCATCACAGATAGCATCGCCAAGCGGCATCACTTGCTGGATGATGTTGTGTTGCAGGGTGCTGGTGATTTGCTTCGATGACTGATACTGAGAGGCCAGCTGGGTCGGGTCAATGATACCAAGGCCCCCGTAACGGCAGGGCAGGGCAAGCACAGCGCGGTCCTCCTCGCAGATCTGACGTCCGGTGATCGCAGGGATCAGTTTGTCCCGGATAGCACTCTCCAGTGGCCCAAAGCTTTGAGCAGCGTTGGACATGGTGCGGCACAGAAAGGACCACTTGTGTTTCGAGTCACTGGTGAATGCTGAGAAGGCAGCCTGCGGTTGAGACGACGCAATGACGGTTAGACTAGCTGGCCTATCCAAGATTCGACTTTGCCCTCGACATAGGATTGGAGGAACTCAGCAGTACCAATTGCAGCACCTACATGTAGGTAGCGACACCCATCCACACGAATGGTCACCCCAGTGTCCCTGAATAGCTCCTGCGCCAGCCCGAGGACTGCCGGTTTGACGAGGAGGACAGATTTACTCGTGTCCAGGTGGCATCCGTACAAGGGACCTTTGGTGGTCAGCGCATCCCACCAAGCCCGTACCTTCACGAACTTTCCACCAGCACTTGAGTCATCAGCAAACCAAGCCTGCACCGTCCCCTCAGTCGCCACAGACCGCAGCAGGGGTAGGACACCGAGAGCATGCGCTGAGAGTGGCATCGCAATAGGGTCTCCCTGCGTTGTACCTTCACGGGACCGTATCACCTCAGGCTCTGCCGACAATTAGGTTGGCAGGGTGCCGGTACGTATTGATAACGATAGCAGACATAGCCGGGCAGAGGTGCTGGATGTTGTGAAGACCGTGCTTCGCGGTTTAAACGGTTAAACGCATTGGAAACATCCGCCATCAACAGCGCCTCTGTGTCGTCATCGTCGAAAACAGTCGTCATGGCATGAACGGCTGCCTCAATGCCACTCTCATGTCCAGCGCAGACCTGCAGACTGCCTGCAGCCTCTTGGATATCGTCCAGTGTGTGTACTCTCTGGTAGCATGCATGCTCGAGTCGAACCGCGCGTGCCGCACGAAAAAAAGTTCAAAAAAATAGTAACAGTTCTTGACATCATGACGTGAGTCACGTGACACTCACCGAGTCACCAGTCACACAGTCTAGTACAGTCAGTGTATAGCAGGGAGTCGTAAAAAATTTACGACTCCCTGGTGTATAGTCTACACTCTACAGTCTACAGAGTACAGAATGCTGAGTGTCGTCTGGGTTAAAGGGGAAGTTAAGGCAAAAATTAAAATTTCACCAGTTGTAGTCTTCGGGGTGCTGAGTCGAATGGTCGTGGTCCGAGGAAGCTGAGACGCTCCCTTCCTACTTGAATCCCAATCGAACTCGCGCACTTCCACCGAAACTGGGTGACTGCGCCCTACGAGATGGGGATTTGTATGCAAAATGTCACTAAAAGCGCCATTTCGTTCTTATAAAAGCACGGATGACCGCGATTGGCCCATATGTTGTAGTCTTTTGGACGCTGAGTCGACTGGTTTTGGTCCGAAAAGGCTGCGATGCGGCGTTCCTCCTTTATTCCCAATCGAACATGGTTGAACAAGCGGTCACGTGCTCCTGCGTACACCAGTCACCTGGTCACCGTGCCTGCAGGGTACAACTTACTAGCCTGTTTGACCTTTTGTAGCGGATTCTCGGTCACATGACCTGATTTACTTCGGTTTCAATGAAATTCTCATATTATTGGCTTCATGAAATTCTCCGGTCTCGCGGTCACACTTATATATGTATTACGACCGCTTTACCGTATCAGCATGCGCCGTTCACTTCCGCACCGTATTATCCTTATTTGCATGCGTACTACAGCTGTGTACAAC